TGCCTGCTACATATTTTAATGATCTTAAATCCTCAAATTGTTTATATTGGGTTAATTTTCCTTTTTATTACGCCATTGTTCGATAACATATTGAAAAATTTTATATATATATATATATATATATATATATATATATATATATATATATATATATGGGTGTAAAAGCAAAATTGTCCATTTGTTAGATTAAGCTTTGAACCGTTGTATCTTAGAAATGATTAAAGATATCTTACTGGAATTCTCCGAGGTTTTTATAACACTATTGGACTCTACTTTGAGCAATAAGAATGTATAATTACTCTCCAAGCTTAACAGAAGAATCGTGATGAAATCGATCATAAACGAAAATGACATGTTCATCATTAATTAATCATAGCTAAGGATTGGAATCTCATGAAGGATTGAAATAAAAAAGATATATATATATATATATATATATATATATATATATATATATATATATATTATTCCAGGATCATTTTCCAACTTATTCAAGATGATTTTCGCCCTCTCTAACCTTCTAACGTTGTGTCCTGGAATAACAATGAGATTCACAGTTTCACGTACGACTTCATTTTCAAGTTTTTTTTTTCACTGCTCTTTGAAATGTCATAGTGGAAATCCCTCTCTCACGTGCCAAACGTCTAATGCATTGAGTTGGTTCTTCTCTAAAAAAAAAAGGGATTTTGAATAACGAAACCAGAGTATGAAAGTTGGTGCCATTACTGAAAGCCTAAATGATCTTTTTCTTCTCATCTTTGGGAAGACGGTGGGGCTGACACAAACCAATTTTAACCTGTTCTCTTTCTAGCTGTATAACTGAAAGGGTTTTTTCAGTGATTCGTATAAGAAATGTTGTCAAGATTGTAAACATCTTACCTGGGGCTTGAAAAACAGAAACTCAGTCATTTTAATGGTTCTTTTTATTAAATCTGAATTAGTGGGATACAGACGTGTACATGGATGGTTTGAAACTGTTAAACAGATATATTATCAATATATATATATATATATATATATATATATATATATATATATATATATATAACTGTCCTCCAATAATAATTATCACATACACATATATACATGCATACAAATAATTTTGGCTTAAAATCTTCTTTGCAGAAAACCTGTTGCGTCATTGCATGCATAGTATGAATTCTTAAACACATATAAGGTGGATAATTCGTTAAATATATATATATATATATATAAAATATATATTTATATATAAATATATATATATATATATATATTGAAATTAAGAAAATCCGACAATTTATTAATCAAAATTTTTGTTTTTGACATTTTTTATTTACAAGAAATTATTTAATAAATGCTGATTATGAATAAATGTGTATTAAAAAATTTATCGGCCTGAATGTCTGAAATGACTTGAGAATAAAATGAAATTGCATTATATTAGGTAAATTTATTTGGATTTCTTAAATGTCATCTTCAGAATTCTAAATAAAAAATACATAATCATATATATATATATATATATATTATATATATATATATATATATATATGTATGAAAAGTCTATATTAGTAATATTTCGATGTATGCATGTATGGAAATTATTGTCTTTTAATATATATATATATATATATATATATATATATATGTTATGTATCCATGTATGTGATATAAATTTTATTAGGAGAATTTTATATATATATATATATATATATATATATATATATATATATATATCAAAAGAGCTTCTTCCAAGTGTTCTTTGCTTTAATTAAACAGAAAAAATTGACATGCAATATCAATCGTTATCACTTGTCTTCTTAACTCCTGTTATTTTACTGTCCCTCTTCTCAATAATCTCTTATTTCCTTATATTCTATCACAGTCGTGAACATCCTTGTCTCTTAGTCGCTTTATTGCTTTCATTGAGACGGTATAATTAAAAAAAAAACTGGTAAACCAATACTTTCTTCAGCGTTTATAAAAAGCGATTTTCTTTCGAATTTTATTATTAGTAATATTATGCTAAGATAACACATTTTACATAGTTACATCTCTTCGTAATGCATGACCTGTACTTGTGAGTACATTTTTTGTATTTCTATAAGGCATTGACTACCAGGAATCCTTTCAATGAGACTATCGGAAAGATTCTCGATTTATCCGTTGTTTTCAACTAGAACTAGAATTATTGATCTCCTCATGTGTCACATTTTTGAGATTTCGATTTCCAAGTCGTTGTATTTTGGTAGTTTTTTGGAGATGTTTAAAGATACATTACAATCTGCAAGGATTGCTGTATCAATAAAAAAAGGCATATTCTATTTTTGTGGCTTTGACCCCAATGACTGGCGATTAGATTTGATTGTTCTGTCTGTGTATTGTGAAGTCCCATAAAATTCTTACATGTCCTATCTCTGTAATCTGCTCTGGGCGATGTTCATACCAGTTTATTGCAGTTTCCTGTAAAAGTTGGATATTTTCCAGTGCAGATATTTGATTTAACTTCTATCATAAAAGTTTTTATATTCAGTGAATGCTAACACCGTGCATGATACAAGATGCTTGAAGGTTACTCGGTATTTATTAGGTTAATGCAAAAATAATGACGTAATAATGTCGTTTTTTGAGGTTAAAAAATACGTCAAAAACGATATTATTACGTCATTATTTTTGCACCAACCTAAAATCATTTATTATTATCATTATTATTATTATTATTATTATAAGAAGAAGAAGAAGAAGAAGAAGAAGAAGAAGAAGAAGAAGAAGAAGAAGAAGAAGAAGATGAGAGTTCAGGCCGCGTACAAATATATGCTGGTGTAAAAGACAATATTTCCAATTTGATAAGGGAATAACATGCACAGGCATCACAGCCAAATGTTGCGTGATATTGTGACGATTTTCGTTGCAAGTAAAGCCAAGAGAAATAGTTTTTGATCGAGTAACGTAGTCCGCTCTGACTGCCTCTTTTTTGGGTGATGTGATACCCAAGTCGCCAGAGTTAACTCATTTTTCAAGTTTAAGGTAAGAAACGACCTTCGGAATACTCGGGAATGATACTGAAGTTTTGACCACAAATAGATTCCTCCCTCGGCGCTCTTTGAGTTTACTAATCCGTGTAATTACTTCAAATGCCCTGTTTTGTAGATTCTTCAACTCCCTATCCACAATCTGTTATTTTTCAATCTCTTTCAGTTTCTTTGGATTAAATTCAATAATTTGATAATTTCTATTCTTCATATCTATAACAAAACTCAGTTCGCAGGACCGCATCACTGTCAACGCGGAAATCTGTTTAACTTCCATCCGCAACATCGAAGCTACCATCCTTCAATATCGCCGCCGCTGGGCGTGTAACGTGTCCAGCATACGTCGCATTCGTCTCCCAAGTATCGTCTTGTTTGGAAAACTCGCCAACAGCAAAAACTACGCGTATGACCAAAACGATGCTTCAAAGATCAGTTGAAGACGTCCCTGACACAGACCAACATTGATCCTGAGAGCCTACGAGAACCCTGCTGCAAATCGGCCTTCCTGGCTTATGGAGCTACCGAGACTTTCAACCGTCAACAGTAAGAAAATCTGCGACGTTATATCAGCAGTGCGCGACCCTCCCAGTCGCGTAAACGACCACCCACAAATCTCTATGACACCTGCTCACGACTCTTCAGGTGTAGGTTGGGCCTTCACAGCCATCTCCGCCACGGCCACCAGAGGGGAGAAAGTAGACAAGGGGAGGGAATGATGATCCTGATACTCGGATCGAGCGGGTACCGACGACGGCTAATACTGTATATAACATGACCATGTCTTCGTGCTTCAAATACATGATCTGTCTAGACACAAAAATCCTATGGTACGCTTTTTCTTACTGTATGTTATGTGGTTGGAAGACATCTTAGTATATTATTCATCTGAATAAAATTTAATGTTCAACAGTAACCATGATCTAATAAGAGTTAATTTTTGGTGACCCCTAATACTTTGGGTTCAGCCAAAGAGTTAACAATGTACGATTTAAATTCGGAGTCATCTCAGTAAGTCAAAATACTTCAGAATCTCTCTAATTGACCTAGATGGTAACCTCAAAAATACCAAATGTAGAATCGGTCCTTGAGGTATATTAGTGCACACATTTATATAAACAAGAAAGACCCATCTCAAAATAGGATATATCCACAGAAACCGAATAATTTACCCCCTCCCCCAACCAAGTCGGGAAATTAGATTCCAACACCCACTCGCAGGTAGAGCATCGAACGTACGGAGAAGGAGCCCAAAGCTCCTACCTTTGATTCAGTCAACGTTAATTTGACGGAATTCAGAAGAGAATCATTCGCATTCGAAATTCCGTGATACATTTCAAACGACTTTTACGGTGTCCTGGGTATGACGATAAACTACATCCGCGTCCTGTGTAAGACGATAAACTACGTCTAACTGCAAGGCCTCTGATAATACGTTTTTGAAAAAATAATGTTGCCAGCTGTAGTTTTTTTTTCAAATAATATTACCAGCTATACATTTTATAAAAAAATAATATTACCAGCTATACGTTTTTAAGAAAAAATATTAACAGTAATGGATTTTTGACAAAAAAAATGAGCCATTCAGGTTGATATGCCGTAAAACTAAACAAACCAAACCAAACCGACTTTTATGAAGATAGTTGAATTTTTGTATCCACATGAATTTGACATCTTTAATAGATAAGTATACGCCTGTTTATTTTTCGTCGTATCTCTTTAATATATACAGGTAAACAGCTTTATGATAACAAGACGTACCACGATTTATTATTGTATTGACATTATTCTTGAATTTTTCATTCTTTCTTGGTTTTTCGATTCTCCTTCAACAGCTTTTTTACTTCTGCTACAAATATTTCTTAATTTAAATTGAGTCATACCTTTTCGTGTTTTTCGTCAAATTTCATTGTGTTTGTTCTTTGCATTTTTTTCTTTCTCCTTCAATAGCATTTTCTTTTTCAATTATGTCTCAATTTAAATCCCATCATGTTTTTTTTTAAACAATTTTTCGTTCTTTTTTCCCTCTCCCCGCTTCCTCTTTCGGAAATCTTATTCTTCAATTTTCATTCTTTATTTGTTTTTTTTTCTTTTCTCCTTGAACAGTTAAATTTTTTCTTCAACTATATCTTAATTTAACTTTCCACATGTTTTTTCTCTTTTATTCGTTCTCATTTTCCACTTCCTCTTTCACAATTCTTCTTTAATATTCATTCTTTATCGATTTTTTCTTTTTTCCTTTTTTTTCAACAGTTTTGTCTTTCATTTCTTTTTCAACTATTTCTTAATTTAAATTTTGTCATGTGATTATATCTTATGTTTGTTTTCATTTTCCGGTTCCCTCATTGCTAATTCTTCTTTTTATTCACCTTCTTTGCATTTAATTTTCATTCTTTTTTTTTTAGTTGTTTTTTTTTTTCCTTTCTCCTTCATCAGTTTTTCTTCTTTTCATCTTTAACTCAAATTTCGTCAGGCATTTTTCTTTTGTTCGTTCTACTTTTTCCGCTTCCTCTTTTACAATTTTCCTCCCCTTTCTTCTTCTTCTTCTTTTTCTTCTTCTTCTTCTTCTTCTTCTTCTTCTTCTTCTTCTTCTTCTTATTATTCTTCTTCTTCTTCTATTTTCTTTTTCTTCTTCTTCTTCTTCTATTTTCTTTTTCTTCTTCTTCTTTCTTTTTCTTCTTCTTCTTCTTCTTCTATTTTCTTTTTCTTCTTCTTCTTCTATTTTCTTTTTCTTCTTCTTCTTCTATTTCCTTCTTCTTCTTCTTCTTTCTTCTTCTTCTTCGATTTTCTTTTTCTTTTTCTTCTTCTTCTTCTTCTTCTGCTTCGTTTTTTTTCCAATTTTTATTCTTCCTTTGTTTTTCTCCTTCAATAGATTTTTTTCCTCTTCAACTATTTATTAATTTAAATAAAGTCATTTTTTTTAATCTCTTTGTTCGTTCTGTTTTTCCGGTTATTTTCTCAATTCATCTTCTTCGTTTTCTTCTTCTTCTAATCAGTATTTTAATTTAAACTCCTTCACGTTTATCAAAGATCTGTTGTAAGCCAATTTGCTACTTATTATTTGTCAAATCTACTTCTTTTTTCTTCATTTTTCATTCATTATTTTTTTCCTGTTTTTCCTCCAACAACTTTTTCTTTTCGCCTTCAACTACATCTTAATTGAAAATTCGTCATCATTTTTATCTCTTTTATTTGTTCTCTCTTTCCCTTTCCTCTTTAAATCTTCTTCTTCAGTTATCATCCTTTTTTTTTTGCTTTTTCCTTTCTTTATCATCAACTTTTTCTTTTTTTCATCTAATATATCATAATTTAAATTTTTCAAGAATTTTTTAGCTATATGTACATTCTATTTTTCCGCTTTCTCATTCACAATTCTTTTTCTTTTTTCATTGTATTTTTTTCTTCTTCGTCTTCTTTTAGTTTATCATCTTTTTCTTCCATTTTCTTTCTTTCTTTGTTTTTCTTCATTCCTCCTCCAACAGTTTTTTTCGTCTTTTCTTCCCCAACTATTTCTTAATTGAAATATGGCTATACATTTTTATCTCTTTTCTTCCTTCTTTTATTTCCCTCTTCTTCTTTCGCAATTCTTCTTCTTCATCATCATCATCATCACCCTCTTCTTCTTTTCATTCTGCTTCTTCTTCACATTTTTTCTTCATTTAGACTTCATTTTATCAACTGTATTTTGTAATCCTTTTCATTGCTTATTATTTGACAAAATCACTTCATTTTTTTTTCATTTTCTTCTAATCTGCATCTTCTTTTTTCCTCTTGAAGTCTTTTCCCCAATCATTCATTAACACGACGATTTCCTTTCCAAAAACCTTCACCAATTTTCTCTCCATCATTATCGGAAGTAATATCAATTAACACCGCTTTTAGCATCATAATCAAATTCATCATCTTTTCGCGAGAGTTTTCTTTCGCTGAACATATTTTGCTTTTCTTCGCACTTTATTTTATATCTCATTATTACAAAACACATCATTTGTTACACAAGACTCATCAACATCCCTGTTTTCTTCTCTTCAGGGACTGGATCATAACCCTGAAATAAATTATACGTTCGGACTTGCGTCTTACGTTTGCATTTAATACACTTACGTCACCGACGATTACGTCATCGGGCTAAAAACTTCCGGTTAAGGTCTGCACCTCTGTGAACTTCATTAGCCTCATCAGCATCTACTAATTAACAATCTTATTAATGGCATCACCTCACCTCCTTCTCATGCCTAATCTACCTCCCTATCTTGCAATTCTGATTGTCTCTTCAAATTTATATCATTCTGAATCATTTTTACATATATACATACACAAACACGCACGCATATATTTATACATACATACATATATATATATATATATATATATATATATATATATATATATATATATATTTATATATATATATATATATATATATATATATATATATACACATTTAATTTTTCTATTGCTCTCTCTCTCTCTCTCAAACACATCTATCTATCTATCTATCTATCTATCTATCTATATATATATATATATATATATATATATATATTGGAGAGAGAAAATGAAAAGGAGAAATGTGTAGCTATCCATATTTATTTACCCGATTATTCAAGTAGGATTAATTAAGAAGGAATCCGTCACCCATATACGATGCTCAGTAAATAAATATATCCATACATACATGCATAAGCATATAGACACTCACACATACATACACAAGCACACACTCACACAAACACACAACTATATATGTATGTAGGTTGCGATTGATAAATTGACGTCTAAATTACGCAAAAAATAAATTAACACTGACATCACATTTTAACAGATATATTTAACAAAATACAGAAAAAAATATTGAAAGACCAAAGTGTAAATTTAATCAATAAAATCGCCATTGGCTTCAACCACGGCCTACAAACGGACTTTGGAATCTCCTGCAACTCTTCTGGATTAACTCTTTGTTTGACTTGTCGAGTGCTGCCATAACTCTTGTCTTCAGCTGATTGTTGGTGTTACAAGGACTATTTCTGGTCTTTTGTTCAACTATGTTACACATATTATAATCTAGGGGGTTGCAGTGTGGAGAGTTAGGTTGCCATATATAAGGTTTGATGTGATCGCAGAAATTGTGTGATAGCCATGAGTTGGTTCTCCTGCTGGTATAGTATGGTGCAGAGTCCTGGTTCCAAACATAGGATCTTCAATCGGCATACCTCTTGTAACAGAGCAGCACTACTTCCTCAAGGCACATGGTGTAACCCTCCGTGTTGAGACTGACGCATTGTGGGAAAATGAATGGAGGCATAATTTCACCATCACTTATAATCCCTCCAAACATCGTTTTATCACAATTAGACTCATGCAATTCTTTCCGAATACTCTGCACTCTTCTCAGAGTGAAACCGAAACACTCTGAAATGTTCGTATTCCCGCGTGAATCACAAGCAGTACAGCCAACCAATTAGAAATTTATGGTTTAGTGACAAAATAACAAAGGACGCGCATGCGTGAAATTAAACAAAACATTGGCGACATATACACATCGCACCCTCTGTGTGTTTGTATATATATATATATATATATATATATATATATATATATATATATATATATATATATATATATATAATAAAAGGCTTAAACACTAATATTCCATGGTCATAATTTATTCCATTGGAATCGTAAATACGCTCAATTCATCAGACCTACAAATTCAAAAAGAAAACAGAAAAAACAACTCCGGAAATAAAAACAGAATTTAGAGAGTGTGTAAGTATGAGGGGGAGAGAGATTAAACCTTAACAGAGAGAATATTAGGGGAGGTGGGTGGAAGGGGTTTAAGTAAGAGAAAAATGAATGTTGTCAAATAAATATATATATATATATATATATATATATATAAAATCGCGTATATGAGGCTTGTGTTAATAAAACAGTGAGGATGTGTTACAACAGAGCTATATAAAAATATATATAATGTATATGATCTCTCAGTAATATCACAGAACGGACTTTCATGCGCAATGCATCAGTCAGATGCTGAGTATAGATAGACTGTTATGTAATTTAATCTGGCTATCGCAATTTTGGCGCCGATATATATTTTACTGGGATTATATTTTTTAAATTTTAAAAACTTATATTTGACATTTAAAATAAGCAACATATATATATATATATATATATATATATATATATATATATATATATATATATATATATATTTTGAACAATAAGAAAATTAAAAATTAAAAATTAAAATCATTAGACACACTGGGTTTGTAGATTAATATTCTTTCGTTTTTTATTATTATTATTATTCCATTTAAATTCCTCGACTAGTTTCGACCGAAATGGCCATCATCGGGAGGCGAAATATTTCTGCTTGCTGTTAGCAAGTAACTACAGAAATGTATATATATATATATATATATATATGGGGAACTCACCCGTCGTATTCGACGTATGAGGATCAAGCAGCTAAGTTCCTAGAAAGTAACAACCCAGACACCATGACATATGATTTGATTATAGTGGCGAAGGCTTTGTGCTTTTGAAGGGTACAGGGACCTGGCGCTCTACATGCTTCCCAAAGGACAATGTTTTGAAATCAGCGTTGTCTTTCTCCTAGTTAAGTTGCCATCCAAGGCTATAGAATCCAATCCTCTTCCCCCCCCTCTATAGCTGGAGGAAGAAGATTAATACGTTTCCCAAGAGTACTATCGCGTAAGAATGTAATGGATTCGACTGGAATTCGGACCTGGCTCTCCGATTGCTCAATCCACTACTCCTCTAATCTCATATATATATATATATATATATATATATATATATATATATATATATATATATATATGTATGTATGTGTGTGTGTATTCGTATGTTTGTATGCGTAAATGTATGTGTGAGTGTCGCTGTGTGTGTGTAATAAAACACGAGCAATTCCTGTTTTGTTTATTACTTTTTTTTATTTTTATATAAAGAATAATAGATTACTTGTTCCTTTAAAACCCATGAAAATTAATCTGGATCAACGTATTTTTTAATATATATATATATATATATATATATATATATATATATATATGTACTTTGGTCTAAATGGTTAGGGTTATTTAACTGTTTTAAGATATCTGACATTTCAACAAGACATAAATTTAAAGATTTCTTTGAAAAAAATTTGGCTTATGCGACAATATCCCATCTGGTGAAAGTTTTATTACCATCATTCTTTAATTCCCAAAAATATTTAGAGAGAGAACTGCTATTTTTGTATCTTATAGTGTCTGTTGTCATTCGATGATTGTAGGAACAGAAATTTCCTTTTATTGTTATGAATATATGCTATTCAGTATACAATATTATCAGTCATGCATTGACCATAAAAGGGACAAATATATATTTTGAACTTGTTGCATTTTTTTTTAATTAATGTTGTCTTTTTTGGAAATATATTTGATTAACATAATTTTATTATGTTAGGATACAGAATTATTTATGTTATTAACGCAGCTATAGTTTAATATTTTTATTTCTGCTTAAAATCTTTTTTAGTGTTGGTAAATGAAGTCCTTATGAAACAAATATAGGAAAAATATTCCGATATTTGTTTGAACATTGCGTTTGAAAGTTGTGTATATCTATATAATGTTATGCTTTTTATATTTTTAATTTTGTTAAATCATCTTAATTTACTTTAGGGTTCTTTTTTTATATATTTAATTTTATTATTATCAACTATTTCCCTTATTGTTGGAGTTAGTAGATAATCTAACTTGTACTGATTATGTAAATCACTAAGAAATGTGTTAAATTTTTTTGTGTTTTTTACTGGCGTATTTATTGTTATATAAATCTTTGGTATATGTTTTGTAATAACAATTATTTAAGTCTAAGGTCTCATCGAGAAGTTGATCATTTTAGCATTGGTGGTAGCGGTAATATTTAGTTCGTGATCTTTAAAAAATATCATCAGTTCCTTTTTCAGTCGGTCTATATTTCATGAACTTGTTTTACCGAGAAGAGTTACACCGTCATCTCTATAGAGTCCGGTATCCTTAATGTCGAAAATAAATCTTTGTCGCCACATTAACAAGGGGTCCAACTATTTCACATTCCTCTTTTGAATTAAATACCCTCACAGAAATATTGAATTCTGTGTTACTTCTTTTTGTCCACAGACAACCATTATGGAATAATATAGAATTTTATTCCTGATTTATGATATTTATTTAATTATCGCTAATAGGGCAGTAATTAATTGCTAAAATTATTAGCAGATTTTCGGTGATGGACGGGTAAAATTTACACATATCAAATTGGTTGTATGTACAGTCATTCTTCCGTTTTAGATTAGTAAACAATTCAATGGCTTCTACTGCTTTATGCCACATTAACTCCTAGAGATTTTTTCGTGTATCTTCATGCTCTTTCAAGAATGATTGTGCTGATTTTCCTGATATTATTTTTTAGCTGAGATGAGTAATCGGTATTGTGAAATGTTTATGAAATTTACCCTGTGGTTTTTAACTGTGATGAATATCTGTTGTTTGGAGATTTTTGTAGATTATGAATTGTAGCTAATTTCTTGGCTTCACTATTGATATTGTTTTCTAGTTGTTTGGTGTCTTTTTATAAAACTTATTAACTTCCTGCTTTATGGC